CATACATACATACATACATACATACATACATACATACATACATACATACATACATACATACATAGACACATACATACATATGTCCATGAATTGTGCATAGGGCGAGCCTTGCGATTGAAGGCTGGCACAGATGTCAGATGAATCCATGCTGATGGTTTCAACTCTTTTTCCTTTGACTAGCATCTATCCAATAAATATTTATATATGAAATGTGCATATTACCCTAGTCTATAAAAGGATTCCTTCTGTCATAAGCACTATGAGTCTTTTCTTGTACACCCAAAAAGGGGGTATCCTTATCGTCCTTACTGGTACAATTGTCCTAATTTTGTCTTGACTACGAATGTTTATTTTTTTATTTTTGATGCGAGTAAGTTTCGAGATTATCAGTATTCCTGGCTGAGAAATTTGCCACCACAGGTCGCCTGAGGTGATTTGATGACTCATAATTTGGTTTACCCAAAGACGTCATCAATTTTCAAATGTATTATTCATGGCGTTTTGAGGATTATTTATATCTTTATGATAAAATAGATTTTCATTTCTCTAATGATTCCAGGCGATCTAGAATAACTAAGTTGTTACAAAAGAATTACTGGCCACATCAAGTCCTACTTACACCTAAAATAAATAGAGTAATCGATTTAAATATAAAAACATACTTGCTTTATTGACGATCCTACTATAATTGTGATTTCGCAGAGTACTGAATGTCACATTTGGTACTCAATATTTGGAAAACTCTGCTATCAGCCCATGAATCACTTTGAGCGACGTAAGGGGACTTGGTTCTTGCTTTTTCAATTGGTTATTCTTCCACTTTAATGTTGTTTCTTCATCGCTTATGTCACTGCTTGTAGCCACTACTTGTGAGATATCTTTGAAAATTCCCTATTACATTTAGCGTCCCAGACATTTGGTAGTACTTTTGTTACTACCAACCTGTGTAGATCATAGTGGGCCTTTTTATCCGAACAAATATTGGAGAGCCTGGTTTTTTCACCAGGCCCATTGAGGGATTCATTTGAGCAAATGATTCTTGTCCTAGCAACCATAAAGCCTAGGTTAATAGATTAAGTTTTGTCATTATTTTTTACATTGTTTTTCCTACGCTAGGTAATCGGAATTAATTCTTCACCATCTGGACGAATCATTCTGTGTATACCCTTTTTCCGTCACTTAACTTCCCCACTGATCATACTATCTAGTTGACATTACTTTCCAGATCTTCGTCCATCTAAAATAAAATTATTAGCTTTCTTCTGAGAATACCTCTCATTCCATCGATTGTCCTCACCAAACCTCTGTATTAAAGATTGTTCACTTTTCTATACATGATCCCTTGCATTCTGAGGCACTCACAATTAGTCCTCTTATTCTTCTAAATTTCATAATTCGATGCCTTCATGAACACAATTTTGCAGCATATCTCTGGCAGTAAATATCCTAATTAAAATCAAATTAAAATCCGTATCTCTATTTAAGACTATTTTTTAGCATTTTTTATTCTTTTAATCCCATACCTTTTCAGTCTTTCTATCACGTTCTGGCAATGAATAGCCATTTCTGCCAGAGATTGGTCAACTCAAATCTTCATCTCGTAAACTGGCGCCGTCCTCAGGGCTGCTGGTGCAAGGAGGCTCTCCCAGTTGACTGGTGCGGCTGTTCGCCAGCCGTCTTCACTGGACCTCACGATCTTGCTCGACTCCTTCGCCTCCACTCCTCGTCACCATATTACGCCAACACGATGGATTTGAACTCGAGTTCAGCTCTCAGCCATACTAGTAACCTCAATAATCTGTTTTTCTTTGCCCGCAAGTTCGATTCTACCGTTGATCTGGCCCTCCTCAATCTGGCTATTGTTCGCTTGATGAAGGACGATAGATTAAGTAGGTAAACTTTCACCTTTAAACTTGAATATACACTCGATCTTATTTATGTTTTTCATTTTAAGCTACACTTTTCTTTCTTTTAAATCCTCAATAATCTATTTCCATTTTTTATTCTGGATTTGCTCGTGAACGCCTGGGTTCCTATTCTTTTGCATTACGTACTATTGACATAGGTGGCCTTTGATCTTTTTTTTTACCTGGCATTATATCTCATTTTCAAGATTACTCCCATCTTTTACTTCATTTTTTTACTTAGCCTAATCGGCTTGTTTGCATCCTAAGCCTTAATATAAGAGCTGTTACTTAGATGACACCTCTGGTGGCAAGACTTTGGCTTACTTTTAAGTATTTATAAAGATTGTCATCTATTAGCTTCACTTTTGCTCTAAGCTTATTTAATTGAGATTGCATAGACGGAACAATGGGACTTCTCGAGTTTTACCTGGAAACACTGCAGCCGAAGCACTTGACGTCTGATCATTGTTAAAAATATCTGATGAAAGGAGGCTAAAGAATATTATGATGTGTTTTGAAAGTATCATTAGCAGTAGTTAATTGTACATAAGCCTAAAGGAAAGCCCGAAGGAGGGTACCCGAAAAGCCAGGTTATTTTGTATTCTCTCATAAGGAGAGTGCTCATGCGTATATTTCCAATGAGATGTAGTCTCGAAACCCTACTCTTATATGGATATATTTCCAATGCCCGGATAAACTTTATTTGGCAGTCCCTGATTTCCTCCTACTGGAATATGTAGATAAACGAGACTAACAAAGATTTGATGACACGAATAGAGCAATAGAATTCAATTTTTGGTCTAGCCAATGGTTCAGGGCTTATTTTGATAATAAAATAATTACTTATAATTGTTGATGAAGATAAACTTCAAAGTTAAAATCTCTTTTCTTTATCATGTCAACGTCTTTATCCGATTATATAGCTCAGGTACATTTCATTCCTATTTTGTCAATCCGCAGGGCAATATCAGAACTTGTGTGGGTAGAGTTGAATTTTCTCCTTTTTCGATGTATTTATAAGTGCAGAGATAATGCGAATCCAAGATAAAAATATAAATTATTTTATTATTTTCAAAAGTGTCAATTGCTCCGATTGCGAGCTTGCATTTTTTTCTCGACTTCTCTTCTGTAACTTTGCCTAGACGACGAAAACTGGTCTCTTTACCTTGAGCCTGTTTACCTCGACTTCTGGGATAGGAGTGGTGACATTGGACTAAGGACGGCACTGCTTGCGCTCGCTCTTACTGGCTTAGATCATTCAACCCGGAATCTACCGTCAAGTCATTGTCTTACAACGGCTGCTCAAGCCGGTAGGTCAATATTATTACACTTTGTGTAGGTTAGTGGTTAAATCGAGAAATGATAAAGTAAATAGTTGCAAGATCCGTCGCTTTTCTTACTTT